AAAATTTGTCAAACAAAATATTTTTAAAAACCTTACTGATCAGAAAACTATAATGCAAAAAATTAAAGCAGCACAAAGTGAAAGAGATCATTTGTCAATGCTTTTTACAGAATATATCAATGATGTGATGGTAAATCAAAATACATATTCAACCCAATCTTGCAAAGATTTTCTTTGGTCACTAGTCGCAAAATTAATTTCTGAATTTAAAGCCCAGGATAAGTATAAGTTATTCAAAAGTGCACCAAGAATTAATGAGGAAGGTTTTAAAAAAATTCTTGCCTGCTATAAGTCTGAAAAATCACGTCTTGAAACAATATTTAGGCAAGACATGCATAAAACAGAGCATTATGTAGCTTCTGAACGTGGTGCTTAAGATATAGACTGATACATATCTGCCGAATTTGAACAAATAAAAAAACAAAAAAATGAAACTAAAAAAAAAATAAAAATAAAGTTATGTTAATGATAGAGAAAATTCTATTTTCACCTTCTTTAATAACAAGACAGTCTTTTGAAACTCTTGAAACTTCATTTCCTACACAAGTTTAGATACAGATAGTTATAAAAAACAAAAATAATGACAAATTATGGAGGCAGAAAAAAATATACTTTCCCTATTACTTGAATACAAAAAGTCATTACCAATTTCTGAAATTATCAAAACACTTGACAAACTTAATATAGATTAGACTATTGATAGGATTAGACAGTATTGGAGAAACAATAAGAAATCTTCTTAGAAATAGCTATCATAAAATAACTATATTTTCTTGTCTTTAATCGTGATTTCTTTGAAAAATTATCTATTTCTATAAGCTATACCAATTTTTTATAAAAATAAATAAATATTTCACTTTAATTATGATTTCTTTGAAATATTAGCATATGTGAAAGCCACGCATATTAGAAATTATATTGTTATATAAATAATTGAATAATTTGAATAATTAAATAAATAATTCAATTTTTTCTTATATAAAGACTGAAATATAGCACTTGTGTATACATACAGGATCAACTAAAACTAGAAAATCCCTTTTCTATTATTACTGTTTTCGAAAT